TCTATTTGATGCTTCATGCATAGAACATTGGAATGAGAATCTCTTCAGTTAAGACATGTCCCAGTTGTGAATTGTCTAATCAAAGGAAATCTTTGTTCAATAATTTATCTCAAATTCTCTTCAAATAAAATTCACCAAGGCAGAAATCTGCAGCCCACTTTGCTGTTCTACAATGCTTCACACATAATCATTTTGATATGTATTAAAGTACCTCTGGGGAAGAAAATAGAGGTTTATTGCATTGTTGATGGCTTAGTTGCCTGGAAAAAGCAAAATGTTGCCTTCAGGTAAGTAACCTTTGGCGTAAGCTTCAAACAGATGCTTTATTCACAGACTTTTCCTGATTCCATGTAGACTAGTTGAGAGTACAACTCCCAAAATTTCCAGGTACCATATCCTTTGCAAATGCTTGTATATTTTAATGTTTTATGGTTTTATGATTGTTTTGATATGTCTGCTTTTATTGATTGGGATATTCCAGCCAGCTTTTACTTCTTGTGAGATGGGAATGTGATTAATAAATAATAAATTTCATATATAAGCAAGATGCATTTGAAAAAGATGTACTTTTCTGGCCCTTCTCAACTTTAATACATTGTTTTTGCACATCAGTAGATAGTTGGTATAATCAGAATAGTAGTGTGAGCATAAACAAGACATTAAATATATTCGCATAAGTCATGGGTTCTATTAACGTTGGCTGTATGTTCTAGTTTATCTTAAAGATCTCACACTAATATGATTCATATAGTACACTATGCCACAATAAGGTTTATTTTAGTTCCCTTCGGCCAACTTCTAAACCACAACTATGGTTTAGCAGTTACATGTACCTAATGGGGTACATATTCCAGACACTTAACCCTATATTCAAAGACCTGTTTCTCAAGAAAAGAGTTAAAGAATATGCTAGATTAGTTTCTTTTTTGCAGGCTAAACTGAAGGTACCATACATAAAGAAGATCTGCTTATGTCAATATCAGGGGTGGGATTCTAAAGGTTCTCACCTATTCACTAGAACCGGTTGTTAACTTTCTAAGCAGTTTGGAGAACCAGTTGTTGGAAGAAATCTCCTTCTGTTTTTTTCTACCCTTCTTGCATTCTTGGTGGTATGCCTAGACTTACTGTCTCCAAAGGAGGTTTTTTTTTCTTTGCTGGTACTTTCTTAAAGGGGAAGGGTTGTTTTAAGCTTTTTTACACTGCTGTTGGGAGGAAATACTCCCCTGTTGGAGTTAACACTTTGAAGAAATAATTGAATAACGAAGCAGAGCTGCCAGAAAGCTTTTAATGACAAGGAACCAAGATGAGTGACATTCAGCAAGGTTTCTTGGCTAGCTAGAAAGATTGACATTCAAACGTGAGTTTACATCCCTTTTTGGGTTTTGGTCTAAAACTGGTGACCATTCAAAGTTACAGTGGCACTGAAAAAAGTGACTTATGACCATTTTTCACACTTACAAACATTGCAGCATCCCCACTGTCATGAGAGGCCAGGCGAGGAGAAGCGCCCCTTGATGTGAGTGACATCAAGTTGGCCACACCCACCCAGTCACATGATCATCAAGCCACGCCCACCAACTAAGCCATGCCCACAGAACCAGTTGTTAAAAAAATTGAATCCCACCTCTGGTCAGTACACACTCAAAAACCCATATATAGGAATGTGAAGAAAGGGTTTTTGATTCTGAGGTATTTTTCTCCCATCTTTCCAAGCCACTGAATATTTGGCAATTCTCTTCATATCCATGGGAGACGAGTTGTGATGGCCATGATTAGTTTCCGCAAGCCTGGAAACCATTGTTTCCTGCTTCACCTGCTTTATTCCTAACCATAGTTATGCAATGTTTGTTACATTATATGCTCAAGCAGATGCTGTCAAAAATACATAATTGATTGTCATTTTATGAACTCTCTTTATCCCACACACCCCCATGTATATTTATAAGGTAGCTTTAGCTTATCCATATAAAACAGTCACTAACAGAGTATTACATTATCAAAGTATAGATTCAGTTTTTATTGGCAAATTTTATTGCCCATAGAAATGCAGGCAGCAGTTAAAGCAGAAAAAAATTAAATCTTTATGAATATAATAAAGATGTTTGATAGAACAAAAAGGATTAGGAAAATTCTGGGGACTGTGAGTGTTAACATTGCCATTTCTATCTTAGGAGGAGAGCTTTTCCTGAGAAAGAAGAAAGTTGTGAAAGTTACTCAAAGAATAGTAAAAAAAATGGACATAATTTCTCAAAATCATTCTGAGATTTTGTTTGTCCAGTCAATTGCTCAGGAATGAACTCAGATGTCATATTTTTAAAGCAGACATAGCAAATTAGATCAGGGAAACATTGAATTCACAAAATTAATATTGAGCAATTGTGTCTTTCAAAAATGGCTAAAAACATCCTATACTTTAGGTAACCTGGGGACTTACTCATATAGTAAATATTGCTTTTGAGAAAAGAGCCATGCAATTTAATTTTTTTTCAGAATTACCCTTTTGTACACATTTACTTTTCTGAGCCAAATTATCTTTCATTTTTTTTACTTTTCAATTCAGATGGAAGTCTGTCTTTTAAACACATTCAATGCTCTCAGCATTTCTGGAGGTCCTTATAAATAATATATTTCCCAGGTCAGAGGTTACCTACTTTGTGGGTTCCCAAATGCCATCATCAAATTGGTCACAAAATGGCCATGACATAAGCATTCCAAAAGTTAATCATGAGGCTGCTCAATTTGAGATTTGGATATTTTAAAAATCCCAAATAGCCTTGTCATCTATTTTGATCTTGAGACCGTCATTAAATTTGGAGACATAGAAGTGCCTTGGGGCTCATGAATGCTGTTTTCATGAACCCTGATGTTACATTTGATTCACTGGAAGTATTTTATTATTCATAGAAAACATAAGAACCGGAAAGGACAATGCTGGTCATCAGAATTGAACCTGCTCAGTGTGTGATACACTATGACCATCCAGTCTCTGTCTGAAGATTTTTAGTGAAGGAGAACTCATCATCTCATACTCCACTTATTCAATAGACTAACAGCTTGTATAGTTGCAAAATTCTTTCTGAGGTCCAACCTAAAGCTGTTTCCTTGTAATTTTAATCCAATGGTTCTGGTCCTGCATTTTGCAGCAATAGATAACAAGTGAACTTCTGTTTGACAGTCTTTTAGATATTTGAAAGGTGCTATCACACCTGTCCTGTGCTTTCTATTCTATATGCTAAGTGTGCCAAATTCTTTAACCATTCCTTGTATGATCATATGTAAATTCAAAGAGAAAATGGTTAACAATTAGAAGTATGTGTTTTTTTTGGATGAGAAGACATTGACATTATCTTAAAGATAAAGTTTATTTATTCACAATTGATGAGAAAAAAGCTTCTAACCAGGAAGAAGAGCTGGACTAATACAACTAGCACTCTATTTCTGGCTTGCATGAGGCATTGGGAACAGCACTAAAGAAGGATTTGGGAAGGAGGAGGTTTCAGGTGTGAAGTCTTCTAAGGCCTTTCACTTTTCTTGCCACTGCATCTGAATTAAATGCTCATAAAGAATAATCAGACATGTGAATGTTCAGTGTTGTGTTATGTCCTCTCTTGCCAAGAACTATTGGATTATAAGAACTGACTAGAATGCCTTTGTAAATGGAGCAACAGGAAAAGGAATTGGGATGGTCTAGAACAGATTCCGCATAAATCCTAGGTGTTAGTATGCACTTGACTATGAAGACTCTTGCTGTCTGGCCTTTCTGACAGTGTTCTGCGTTTAAAATTCCCAAACAGAAAAGATTGGAGCAGTATAGGAGAGCAAAACCCCAGTCTGACCACATATGCCTAGGCCTTTGAATAGGCATTTAGTGTGAATGAGAAGATGCATATGTATATGTCATGGACAAAGTAGAATTCCCCTGAATTTTTATAGATTTATGTTACAAGCCTTGAACAACAAGGTTTTTTTAATGTATAATGAAGTCATCCAATGTAACATGGAAAGAATGAAGAAAGAATTAGAACCAAGATTTGTTTATGTTTTCATCCATTTGTTTCCTGCCTTCCACATACATTAGTATAATGAAGGCAGCTTAAAATACAATGTTGTTTCTTTTTTACTCACGTTTTACGATATTAACATCTGGGCAGATACTGTGTCCCTTTAAAGATTTATAATTATTATTTTTAAAAAAATCTATCTAGCAACCATTAAACAAAGATTAGATTTAGAAAGTAAAACAATAAATAAGGTATACAACATTGTATATATAAAATTAAGTTAGTTAAACTGTGCATATGTTTACAAGCCTTGGAAAATAAAAATAGTAATGAAAGGTATATGAAAAGAACATCAGGGAAGTTGCTCTGGGGATATGATTTTCATAAGTTGGATACCATCACTAAAACGTCTCTTTTCCAATATGGTAGTCATATATGCCTCTCCCTTCTCAGACCTACGCCATCTGCTAAAGAGAACTGCTAAAGAGGATAATAAAATATATCCAGAATGACGAAAAATTAAGATACTCCATAAAAGTTATGTTTTACAAGATGGGCAGCCCTATAAATCTTCTAAATAAAAAAGTAAAGTTTTGAAAGGGAATTCTAAAAAGAAAACAGATGAACCAAAAAAGTTCAAAAGAACATTTCTTTTATTTGTATATAGTATTAATGACTTTTCATGGGCTTCACTCATACAAAAAAGTAAGTATTGTCTTGAGAATGGCAGCCCTCAGCCAAGCCTGATAATTGGTGACATTGTCAGAGATTATCATGAGACACATAATCAGAGAATCATCTATGTGTTGGAATTGAACTCACAGAACCAGGTATGCAGAGAATTGCAATGTGGCATTTTGCAAGGGTCACACTGAAGAAACCTATTGTGATTCAGCACAAAACAGCAGCTCTCAAGTTACAATTTCCTACTATCTGCACTTCTACAATAATGTCTTGCTGTTCACTGGTTGTTGCTTGCTTGCTTGTTTGTTTTAACAGATACATGGCCATTATTGATCCTTTGAAGCCCAGGCTGTCTGCCACTGCTACAAAAATAGTGATTGCAAGTATATGGATTCTAGCATTCCTCCTTGCATTTCCTCAGTGTCTCTTTGCTAAGACTCAAGTGGTGCCAGGACGGATTCTGTGCTATGTTTTCTGGCCAGGTGGTATGAAACAACGTTTTACGTAAGTCAATACTTTAAATAGTTGTGTATTTTTGCATGCTTCTTTTGCCCTACAAAAGCATAGAAATATGATACCTGACATAGTGGTTCAAACTAAAGATGACAGATGAAGAAGTAGATTGCAAATCTCGGATGTTGTGGAACAAGATCTTTCCAAATAAGATCTTAAAGAAGAGGAACATTGCTTTGTTTTTCCATCTGTGAAAAATCATATAGAATTATTTATCACTTTAAATAGGAGTTAGTCTGTTACTGTATAACTAATAATGTAGCATATTACAATTCATCAGATGCATAGAATATTGTGCTATAGAGGTGACTGTATTTGTGTATATGAATGGGATATGTGAAGGAAAAGGAGTATGGTGCCGAGTATAGAATAGATTGTAAGTATTAACAAATTAGTAAATATGATACAGACATGCTTAAATTGGTGAGCTGGTTTGCATATTATAACAAATCAGGGTCTTTGTGTGAATTCATGAGACATTATATCTCTGAAATTCTTAATTCCACTCTTTTGTAACAAAATCAATCTTTGTAAATTTTATTCAATGAAAGCTATGTTGAAATAAATACAATTTGAATCATTTCATAATGATTTTGAAGTATACAAGTTCTGATATTATATTCATGAAGAATGCTGGTTGCTTTTAAGAGCACAAACGACAACATTTTTTAAAGAAATGTTTTTGGTGTCAGGCTCATGTTCTTCTCTTCTAGGTATCATATCATTGTAATTGCATTGGTCTATTGTTTCCCCCTGCTTGTCATGGGCATCACTTATACGATTGTTGGAATTACGCTGTGGGGTGGAGAAATCCCAGGTGATACTTCTGACAAATACCATGAGCAGCTGAAAGCTAAGAGAAAGGTACTGTAAAACTTCAGCTTTTTTATTTAGCAATTATTAAAGGATTTTACAATATTTACAAGCTACCCTATCTTCAGGCTGTAAGTGGTGTACAAAGTATTAGGAAATCATTAAAAGCAAGGGCATAAGATAAGGGATGGCTGCTCAAATTTTCATTCCTGGTCAAAAACTCATTGAAAAAATAGGAAATGGGACAACTCGCTATAACCAACTTGATGTGGCCAAGATGACATGGCCAACTCTTCGCAGCAACTTACCATACCCAACTCAAGACATACAATTCACTGCAGGACAACTTGCTGCAGGACAATTCCATTTAATTATTTAAAATAAATAAAAAAATATTTTAATTTTTGCCATTCACATTTTTATTCTGTCTCTCCTTTTACATCATATTCCTTTTACATTGTATTCCACCATTTCTTTGATATTAGTATAACTCTTGTCCCACTGTGAGTTGTCTTGCAGCGAATTGGCTGTGGTGAGTTGGCCATGGCAAGTTGACCATGGAGAGTTGGCCATGGAGAGTTGACCATGGTGAATTATCATAGACCTGCAACCTAATGGTCTTACAGCATCTTCTGCAATGTCAGAAGGATGGGTACCATGTAGTTCTCCAATGGGAACATTTTCCACAATGTAGGAGCAGCTGCAGAAAAGACATCTGATCCACACACTCCTTACTTCATTTAGGGATGTTGTGGGAAAGTTGGGATGTTCAGCAAGTCCTCTCAGTGATCAGAATGGGCAGGAAGAGTAATCTGAGGTACACTAATCAGTGATTGAAATACAGGTGGCAAAACTGGTTTTTAAATATTTAGCAGCAACTTTATGTTTTATAGGAAGTAATAATTTAGGCACCTGAAATGTGCATATGTAGATTGTATCCATGCATAAATTTAAAAATTACTATTCATTTAAAACACTTTGTGTCTTGCAACAGAGGAGAAGACTTGCCTATCTGGTCAGTGATTGATTATGTGCCATCAAGTCATTTTCTATTCCTAGTGATCACTTAAGTAAATTTTCTTCATGAAAATCTGTCCCTAGTCTTTACGTTTTCCAACAGTATAACTGAGTTTGTCCACCTTGATGCCAGCTGTTATCTTCTTCTCCTTCCTTTCTTCCAACTTTCCCAGTTTGAGAACCTATTCCTGAAAGCTAGGTCCTTGTATAATATGTCAGAAGTAGGGTAATGTGAGCCTTGATTGACAACTCTAGGTAGATTTCTTCTGTGATCCATTAGCTTGTTTTCTTGGCTGTCCATGGCATTCACAAGAGTCCTCTCCAACTTCAACATTCAGAAACACCAACACTTATTATTAGTAGACAATTTTAGAATCTCTTTATCATTCAATTGTGTTTGGAATAAATAGTCAAGGTGGATGGGGACACTCATAACCTTTGCGGTGATGCTGAATTGCAGCTATCAGAGCCTTACCATTGACCATGCTAGGTGGAGTTAATATGGATCATAGTTCAATATCTGGAGGGTGCCAGTTTCCCTACCCTTCAAAACAAGGTTCTGCAAATGAACGATTCTTCTCTAGTGAATCTGCCAATAGAGCCTGTCCTTTGTAAAGGAAGATGCCTGAATACACTGACATTAAATCATCCCCTAAAGCAGAGGTCTCCAAACTTGGCAACTTTGAGACTTGTGAATTTCAGCTCCCGGAATTCTCCAGCCAATAGCTGCCTGGAGAATTCCTTGAGTTGAAGTCCACAAGTCTTAAAGTTGCCAACCTTTGCCCTAAAGCATCTGGTTCCACTCCAAGTCACTATTTTCCAATACAGACAGCATTAAACCTTAACCATGCAGAGTAATATTGATTGGTTTTTTCATTTTGTCAATAAAGAACAAGTTTATACAGAGAGAGCTAACACGTTTAATCAATCTAAAATTGTAAATCCAGGATCGCACTGTCTTTCCATTGTAAAATCTTATTTATTTGAAACATTGCAAGTAGCTGATAATAATCTTATGGTTTATTATCTATTATTAAATAGTCTTTAATATTCTGTTTTAAAAATGCATTTCAATATTGAGGACAACTCAAGAGTTTTAGATGTCCCTAATGCTAATAAAATATTCTGCCATTACACTGTTGCAGGCAATTCAAACTTCTACTGCAAATGTTTAAATGCGTTAAACATTTGATCAGTAAGGAAGAGTTGTAAAGTGCGAATTCCCCAAAATATGCATGATTTTAAAGCAATATGTAATTATCTGAATTATTCCAAATAATCATATGAATAAAGAGCAAAGAACTAAAATATTTTACTATGTTATATTTTTTCCATTTGTCCATTAAATTTCTTTGTTTCTTTTTGTCTCTATGATAAAGAGATGTTTTTTAAAAAATGTCCGAATTATGCTTAAAATGAACTCATATTCAGTTACTACTTTAATAATGTAGGATCTTGGTCCACAGCCCTCTTCACTGTTCTGACTGTGGCTCAGCGAGAGATTTTTAAATGCTGTCAACAAAATAAGCAAATCAACTCAGGTCCCATTTATCAATTTGTTTTTTTTCCATGGCTTAAAGTTCATCTTGTTTTTTCTTGAAGGGATATATGTCTGGGTTTGTTTTGGATATTTCAAATGAGTGTTGATTCATGCTGACTGCCTGTGGAAGCCCCTGATATGGCCTTTTGCATAATGTGTGGGATGATTTGGGTAATAGGTTTCCCCATTTTCATTAATGAAACATTGTCAATTTCAGAAGCACAGCTAGCACTTTTCTGTCTCAACATGCATTTGGTGACTGATTGCAGAACAATTTTGGAGAGAAGCAATAAATGTACAGTTCCTACAATTTATCTGGATTTGAGCTTTATCAAAATACCAAAAAAATCACTTTGAAAACTTTTGATTTTCTAGAAAGGAATGATGGCCCAGTGAGGTTTTGGGAGGTTGGTGAATGGTTTGTAATAGGAAAAGGCCCTCCCTCCATTTTGTCAATGTGGTGAAACAGTCTAAGGTGGTGTTTCTCAACCTTCAACTCCCAAAATTCCCCAGCCAGCAAATCTGGGAGTTGAAGGCCACCCATCTTCAAGTTGCCATGGTTGAGAAACACTGGTATAAGAGAATTGGTACTGCTGAAGATAGTGGACTCAGGAAAATCGCTTAATATGGGGAACTCAAGAAGAGTACGCATAGTAGAATCTTCAACTGGAGAAAATTAAGGAGGATATATATTTTTGTTAATGCTTTTCATGTAGCATTACCTTGACTATTTATTTATTATCTAGATTAACTTTTCTACTTGGGAATAACTAACAAAACTAAACAGAGTTACACATTCAGAGTCAGGCTGATGTTGTGTTAAGCCATCAGGCTAAAGAGGCTGTGAGTTCATGTCCTCACTTAGGCACAAAATTGGCTGGATGGCCTTGGGCCAGTCTGTCTCTTAGCCCTACAGTATGAAGGAGGCAATGGATTGTAGTTTACAATCTTTCCAGGAAAATTTCAGGGGCTTCCACAGGCAATTAGCATGAATCAACACTCATTTGAAAGATCCAAAACAAACTCAGACATATAGTCCATATTTAATATATCAGACAGAGAGTGATACCCGGCTAGATAGAATTGATGAAAGTAAACATTTTTTCTGTTTCCAAATATCTCTCTGGCCCCATATAGTATTCACAGCTAATTCAGCACAATCAGAAGAGACCAGGTTTGTGGAGGATGACCAAGGGTTCTTATCTTGTAGCATACAGCAGCTTGATGAACACCAGATGCAAATTGATCATTCTTTTTTTCCTGTAAAATAAATATTAGCGGGTCATTGATATATGGTGCACCTGATACAAAGTCTATCTCTCTTTTTTTCACACTGAAATTTTCACGGATATGTTGCTAAAAATGATTTTAGTAACATTTAACTTAAGGCAAGACCTTAGTTGACAAATTTGACATTTAGAAGATGAGCAGCTAGTTTAATAACTTAGATACAGAAACAGCAGGGCTGTACTGATTAGAAAAAGATGAGGGCTCTCTGAAAACTTCACCCTGATTCAAATTCTATTATAAACATTTGAAATGCATTTTGGGATGAAAATCCAGTTTCTACTGCTCATGTTCTAATGAAATACATACATACATACATACATACATACATACATACACATAAATATATATATAAATATTGCTCATGAGAAAATAATTTCTGAAAGTCTGACCATTTTGTTTAATACCATACTTGAACATCCATGTTATCTCACATATATGCTGAATCTGCCAATCAACAGTGCTACACTGAAATTTTATGTTTTATTTATTCTTATCCTGCCTACATTATTTTTAGAAAAAAAAAACTCAAGGTTGCAAACATACCTAATATTCTAATATTTATTCCTTCTCCTACTTTCCCTACAAATCATGCCACCCTTTTCAGATTATAAAATGACATGCAATATAATAAACGTCACAACTAATTTTTTTAATAGAGTTTTCTGGATTGTTGCCATCAGCTTATTTTCTTGTACAAAAGTCCTTCCATTCTTAGGAATTACCAGGGGCTGACTATGAAGATAAAATGAAAAGAGCACTTAGTGTGACAGATTATGTTTGTGAAGGAACAGTGGTTTTTGAATTCAAGAAGTATCTTATTCTTGATTTAAGAAAAGGTTAGGGCCATATTTGATAGCAAAATGAATATTTTACAAATTCCATATACCATAAATGTACACCCAAGGGTAACAAAAATATGATCACTCATCATATCTTATTCTGAGGTTCTTACCAATCAAATTAAGAGACATTACATTTGAGCACCAACTATGATGCTTCAGAGTTTGGATGTAGTCCCTAAAGCCCTTCTAAACTTTGCTAGAAAAGTGCAATTTTTACTATGGGAGAATTTATTCTTTACTAAGTAAATATATAGGAAGTAATAAAATTAACTGAATATCATTAGTACAGTTTAGTTATCATACAAAGGCATTCATTACAAAATGATGATGCATGCATTACGACATCAGACAAGTGAAGTAAT